ACCACACAAGAGGAAATCGAATCAATTGTAAAAATACATGAAACAACAATTATTCCAAAAGAACAGAAGCCGGAAGAAGAAGGTCAAATTACCGAAGCTACTTTACCGGACCATCCAGTGAGTGAAGAAGCGATAACCGTGACAAGTTTGACACCCGAAGAATATTCAATTGAACCGGTAAAGACAGAAGAACAAAGTACTCATGAATCTGAATATCAGACAACGCTATCTACCGCAGAAGTATCGCAGCCAGTGACCGAAGTAGAGAAACTTCCACCCGAAGAAGAAACTGCTACAGCTGAAAGTACAGAGAAGCCAGAAGAACCTGTCACAAAACTTGAGATGAGTTCAACCGAAAAGCCTGAGGAAATTCCATTTGAAACGGAAAAGCCTGAGGAAATTCCACTTGAAACGGAAAAACCTGAGAAAATTCCACTTGAAACGGAAAAGCCTGAGGAAATTCCATTTGAAACGGAAAAGCCGATTGAACCAGAAAGAGAAACAGAGCCGCCCGAACAAGGTGAAACCACTACAAAAGCAATTGAAAGCGCAGTAACCAAAGAAATATTACCAGAAGAACCGGTTTCAGTAGAAGTGACTCCAAAAGTTGAAGAGAAACCGACAGAAGCTTCTACAGCAGGAGAAGAAGAGGAAGTACATTCTACCCAATCCACAGAAACTACTTCTGTTTATAAGGAAGAACAATCATCGATAACTAAATTAGAGCCTACTGAAAGGCCTCTTCCTTCTGAGGAAGAAACCTCTGCTGGAGAAATTCAGCCTAGCCAACCAGAAGAAAGCGAGGAGGCCCATTCAACTGTATCCGAAGAGGGTCATCCGAGTATGACCGAAGAACCTCAATTTACTACGGAACATGTGCCCGAACATGTACCTATTACGACAAAAACAGAAGAGCATCCGGAAGTAGAAGTACCAGGAACTATTGCAACCGAAGGTCCAATCAAGATTTCTAGCGTGAAACCAACTGAATTTCCTGAAGAGACAACTACCGTCGGACCAGAAGTAGTATCAGAAGTATCCGAATCCCAAATCCCGATAAAAGGAGAAGGTCCGCATCCGGAAATGCCGGTTGAAGAACCTATTATAAAAACACAGCCAATACCCACGGAATTACCAACTGGAGAAATTACGGAAGAGATTCCTGAAGAAGAACCCATTCATCCACAAGAAGGTGAAGAGCAGACTCACATTGACCACTTCCCGGAGGCTACCGTGAAACCAGAAACTGATTATGGTTTCCATGAACAACGACCAGCGACTACTCCTCATATTCCGGAATATCCTGATCAAAGCGGAATATCGGGTGAAGACAATTCTCACTTCCCCATACCCGGCTATCCGAATCCCGACGACGACTATGGCGAGGATGATTATGGAGGACCGGGAACTTGTCGATACGGCGGCAAAGTTTACGTTTCGGCACAACAGATACCGAGAGACGACCCGTGCGACTTCTGTTTCTGCTTCAGGAGTGACATCATCTGTCTCCAACAAAGTTGTCCACCGCCTATTCCGGGCTGCCATGAGGAACCGATCAGCGGTTTCTGCTGTCCCAGATACGAGTGTCCCGTATCAATGGCTACGGCTCTTAATTTGACTACTACCACTACTACGACCACGACCACGTTACCACCGCACTTTCCCGCGCACGCTTATAAAGGAGCCGCGAGGCGAAGCGGTTGTCAACTTAGTGGCCATGCCTATCGAGTGGGAGAAGTCATTAAATCGGCGTCTAATCCTTGCCTTCGCTGCATGTAAGTTTGTAAAAAAATATTTTTTTTATTCTCTAAATCGTTTTTAACTATATGTGTATTATTTTTGAAAAAAATACTTAACGTGAAAATATTTAACTTATTATTAAATTTTAGTTGTGGAAATGATGGTAAAATGAAATGCGATCCGCAAGTATGCAGTCCGGAACCAATGCTAAGGCAAATGATAGCTGCGACTACAGACGCTAAAAGAAGGAGATGAGCCGCCGAATTGGATCAAGGGATTCATCTTTACAAAGAAGCATATATGAGGGCGAAAAAGTCGACAACAGGAAAAAATTCAGTGTTGTATAAAAGTGAATGAAAATTATTCTAAACTACCTAAACATTTCGCGCGAAACACAGACAATATTGTGCTTCGACGATTACGAACTGAGTGGCCAAAACGTAAACGTTTATATTAATAATATTATATTATGTTATATATAAATAAAAGAGAAAGAGCAACGGAGAAAGAAAAAATGGAGGAGGGGAGGAGGCATACGGATTGGAGAATCATAGGAGATTAATTGTGTATTAAGACGTGTTATCGGTGCTAATATGCGAACACGAAAGGAGAAAGTTAGACATGGATGTAGAAAATATAGACAAAAAAGTCGAAAAAAGAAAAAAATTTGTCGTGTAACGAACATAATTCCGCGTTCTGTCTCGCGTGGGATATTTTATATATGCCCTAAAAAGACGAAAAAGAGAGGAAATTACTGAACGTACGAGACTTATGACTGTGCCTTTATCAGTGTCGAATATGGCATTGGTTTCGTTTCGGCAACGAGCGCCGTCCGCAGCCACGGTCATCGTCGTCGGTATTAAAAAAAAAAGGAAACACGAAAAGAGAGAGTTGCGATCATAACTCGTAATGGGGAGGAAAAAAAGAAGAAAAAAAAAATGCAATGAATGCATTTTGTATGATAAATAAGAAATGAATAAAAAGATAAAAGGAAGAAAATAGAATCGAAAGAAGAATTCAATACGCCGGCCGAATGAGTCGTGCAATAATATTGAAATAGCGAAGGAGAATCGTACGAAGGATACCTCAATTCGCAAATTGTTTAGCAAGTTAGAAGCTTTTTTAACGTTTTTTCTATGCAAACTATACGTCCATGGTATTCCTCCTACGATGCAACGTCGTAAATTGAAAAAAATGGGGAAGAAACGAGATCACGATATTCGGCATATTCTTACTGCTTTTACGGTGTCACTGCGACAATCTTAAGCGACGATGATATATGTATTTGCTATGCGATCGAGCGTGTTCTGGATCGTTTATTCGGCTGCTATGTATGTCCCAAACGACCGGGTCACATTACTCAAGTTTGCTGACGTTCATGCGCACTCGGACACGATCGAGATTATGGATCGGCATAACTAGAGCCGGCCGTGCTTCCAGTATTCTTAAGCAGCAAAGATCTTATTCTTTTTGAAGAAGAACTTCCGATTAAGCTATCTTTTTTCTTCCTTTTTTAATTGATATGCCAACACCATACATATACAGTGCCAACGATCGTATCCCAGTGCGCGTGCGAGTGTGTGTACGTGCGTGTGTATGCATGGTGCATGTGATATGTTAATGGAGAGAAAGAGAGAGCGAAAGAGAGAAAGAGAGAGAGAGAGAGAGAGAGAGAGAAAGAAAGAGAGAAAGCCAGAGAGACGAAAGATACACGCATCTCAAAGCTCAAACAGCGGCTCGCGCGGAGGACCGATCCGAGAATTTGCTTCTCCGGCGAGCTGGCGTCATTATATATAAATATAAATATAAATATAAATATAAATATAAATATATATACATTTATATAATTCTTTATATACACTGTACCCTCCTCTGATGATAATACTTAACGATAACGATGTTCTATACGTTTGTACGAAAGTATAGCTGTTAAGAGATGAGAGATAATCGCCCGTACCGGTTCTTCAGTCTCAAAGTATCGCGTTAGAAAAGAGAAAACGATAAAATCTTCGGAATCTCTTTTTAAGTCAATTATTTATCTTGATAGCGATGATACTCGACTCGTATGATCATCGTTTAATAATGAAAGCAACGTCACGCTTTGAGACTCTGGAACTCTGCAGGCTCTTTTTAGTGTAATAAATAGAACGAATGTTTTGTATATATATATACATATATATATACATATATATGTATATATGATCGCACGAAATACTGCGCATACTGTCTGTATAATAATGGAACGAAGACGAGTCAACTTTCGGTCTTCCTGATATCAGCGGCCCGTTAATCCTAGTTACTCATTTATTAATAATTAATTAAGCCCGTATCTGCCCCTGGGACAACAGCTTCTCGCGAAGAACTATCATGAAAGCGTTTTCCTCTTTTTCTTCACGTAAAGGATCTCTTTCGACATGAAAGATCAACGTATTCATGGAGCTTCCACGACAACTCGATCGTGATATACAAAGTGGCCATATTATTACTGTCACTGTTTTCAGACGTGAATGAAACAAATTTCCCATGCAATAATCGATAATAAATTTTTGATACACGTATAAAACGTTTCTTGTGATTTATAATAAAATTATGAAACTGATCAACGCTGCGACATTATTATATCCAGAAAAATTTGAAATTTTAAATACTTTTAGAGATGAAAACTACAATGAAGGTACGAAACTACACATTTTTTATAACCAGGCGAATGTACATTTAAAAAGATCGAGAAGAGAGAAAGAATCAATGTCATAATTCTCAATTAACTAAGATAACAGCGACGATTTTCGACGAAAGCGCGCGATTTCGTATGTGTCTTCCATCGTGACAAAAGTTTATAATGATACATTTTGCAGTAAGCAAAACGAAAGTAACTAAAATAATTTGCTCAAAGCTCATTGAAAGTTACGCGTTGTAATCGAGTCAGTTTTTCCTAAGCTAATACTCTTTAGCAATTATATATAGTCCAAATCCTAGTATTTACTCGATATCAATCCTTTTTCCCTTTCACAATCATAGCGAGTAGTAATTATCAAAGGTAAATATGAGTGTCGAGTTTATGATAATAAGTACGATATTATACAGCTGTACAATATTATATAGCTGTAATGGCGTAAGGCATACATTCCTTACTAGAAATTCAATTTAATACTGAAAACTGCTTATTTTAAGTATTAAAAACACTAAACAATAGTGCTTTTATTACTCGAAATAAGTAATTAATCACTTCATTTCAATATTAAATTTTGATAAGGGACATCGTGTTGGATATACGTAGAACGCATGTAAGACTAATGTCGAAATCGATCGAAGCAGCGAAACGTCCACGAAAATTGATTACGTAGGCACAAAGCGTATAAGATGATCAATTTCTATTCATTTCGCAGCATCAACTATTCCTTCATGAATCGAACATATTCGTTAAGCTATATTCAGATTCTCACCTGAGTGCAACCCATATATCACTCCATCTTTGTTATTTACCGAAAGATAAATAAGGATGACATGGTACTCCGAGAGCACTCGGATGGGAATCCAAACACGCCTTTATATGAGAGATTCCCTTCAATTTCCTTGTAATCCGATATGATTACCGAGAGCTAGTAGCTGAAGGATTTGAATCGATCCCGTGTTTGCGCGCGTGAAGCATTATGGCGCGTGGCGCGGTTGATGAAAAATACTTGAACTTCACGACAGATCTATCGACATCTTTCTCGCACGTAAGTACGATCACAGTCGCGTGTTGCTATGAGGAATATAACTCGACATCGTTCACCGCTTATTATACTACGTGATAAACTACGAGAGAGCGAGCCGGAAAACAACGAAAGGAAGCTCTGGCGGTGCCGACTATATGGAAGTAGTTCGACAGTACGTGCTAGTATAAAGTGTCCTTTTATATGAATAAAAGATTTTGTATGTCATCTTGTGTATCTCTATGCACCTCGTTATTCATTGTATAAACAATATGCCATCCTCGTTAGCGTATAAATAAAAAAATCTCAGTTTGACAAATAATATATAACAATTAGTAATAATAATACATTTTATTTAATTAAATCGTTTTATAATGCTAGTAATTAAAAAAAATCTGCATAAATTATGTTTATTTATATCTTATGAAGTAACTGCAGTGAGGCATTATCATTTTTCAGTTTTGCATCTACTAGGTTATATCAGATAAAAAAATTTATATTTGTTTTCATTCTGTTTTATTCCATTAATATTGCGCGACGGAAGATATAAATTGACACTTCGAAAAATTATGAGAAAAATTCGAATCTTATACCAGAGAGAAACTTGAGAGAGGCCATGCCGGCCTTTTTCCTCTTACAATCTAGAGAGCCTATAATCAGAGTGACGTCATACGGATATCATTCCCTCTAGTTTTTTTAAACGCATTATTTTCTAAATTTTGAATTCATGCTAAAAAATGATCAAAAATTGTGACAAATTAAAAAATGATAAGAAATAAATACATTTTGCACATTACTTTATAAAACATTATTTATTTGCGCTATTAAATGCGCTAGTTTATTATCCATTCTCTGTTCCTACATTTTAGGAGCAAAATGCATCTGTAATAATATAAATGAAATCAAAAATTCAGAAAAATATTATATTTGTATTTACCATTTCACAAAATATTATATATTTTAAATATCGTAATTATCATATTATTTGATTTAGACTCACAATGCAATGATATATAATTGAAAAGATTACGACAAAAAGAGAAAGAATTTAACCAATGTGATGACTATACATATACTTAGTGATAGACTGAGACCGTATATCTCTTTCTCTCTCGCAGAATTTCGTTAAAATATGACGACATCTCTCTGATTGTAGGCTCTCTACCCTATTCTTATTCTTATAATTATATTTACAATTTGCAATTTGAATAAAGTTAGAACTCTTCTAATTGTACAAGTAAATTACATTTAATTTAAAATTGCGAAGAAAATTTATATGAATAAAAATGAATCAACCTTAGAGGCCCTCCACGACCCCCGCCAATTTTTAATGGAGATCCTCTTTTCTTTGTAAGAATATTCCCCCGTAAAAAAAACGAGTTACTAATAAATTTAGTCGGTTTATGCAGGTAAGAATGTTTTAAATTTATTTTTTAATTTTATATCTCTCTTTTTTTCTTTAATTATTTTATTATATTTCGCTAAAATCATATTGCATTATGATTAGCGAAATACAATAAAATAATTAACAATTACATTGCATAGCTTTTTAGTATTATCTTTTATTGTAATCCTTTAATAATACAATAATTATTTACAATACAATGACGGTCTTATTACAGAATGATGTGAATTCCAAATCTTTCAGACCACTTATGATAGAAATAATTTTGGTAGCATCTTAATTACATTTTTATTGCATTTTTAATATAATATCAAAATT